TCCCCTGCTGGCTGTATGCTGGCCAGGCTGCAAGCGGACTAATTATGTTTGTGAACTTCAAGTAAGAAAAGGGTTTTAAAATAGTCTTCTGTATTGATTTCCTTATTGATACAGGTACTCTGTGTGATTTTGTGGGAAAGCACATGTGGAAATTAATTGTATTCAATACTTACTGATTAATATTCAGAATTTTCTCTTTCATGGTAACTGATACACTCTCTGTACAGTGTTCCTTCAGCTTTGCCAAATGCTCAAAGGTGGTGTTTCGCATTTCAGTGTAAATAGGATACAATGCCTGCTTTTATTTCCTCCCTATTACTCTAATTACAGTGTAATTTTCCAGGCAATTTGAAGATATCTTCTGGTACTGGTAATATTTTTTGATTTAGAGAAGTTGCTGAATTAATCCAGTGGCTCTTTGGAGCATGAAAATCTGTAGAAGTCCTACCTAAACTCCATTATACTATGGGACTTTGCAAATCAAGAGTACCGAGTTTTGTTACGTGCATTAATTTAAAAAATGGGTGGTTTTTAATTCTGTTTTGAAATTGTTTTCATCAACCATAAGGTACATTATTCGTGCAGGAGTTTACTCTTCTGGTCTGACTGTGCTATCTCAGATCAACCTAATCACTTTGTAATGCAACAGTGTGAGTAGCAACATAGCACAGATGGCTTAGTGAAGAAAAGTTTTGTTATGGCTTAATCTTCATGTTGGAAGAGTAGTGTGGGGACTCGCTCTAGCCTTAACTGAATCTTTTCTGGGGCGTGAAGGTTTGGTCCTGAGGGCATTCCAGATTTCTGCAGCACAAATAATGATCAAATAAATTCTGTCCGTCACTGTTTGGCGTGGAAAGCACCTTCCTTTCTGTTGTCAAACAATACAGGAGTTGCCTTGGAGAGAGAAATCAACCTTTGCTGGCCCAATGACTTTGGGTACCTCGTGTGTACCATTATCTGTCTACTCAGCAAGTCTGATAGGACTTCCTAGCTCTAGAAAAGGGCATTTCAGGTACATTACCAAACATCGTTTTCAGGCTTTTTCTGCCTGAGAAACTTCACACTAGGAAAAACAAGAATTACCATGTAATGATCCTGTTTAATTTGAGTTGTTTCTCAATCTAAAGGCTGGATGTTGTCCAAACAAAAAAGGTCATAGAGCAGGGTACTGAAGTGTTTAATGTATTAAACTACCAATGCCAAAAAAACCCAAAAAGGCATAAATTCTAAAGGCTGTGGTGTAGACAAGGTATCACAAATTACTATTTGCAAATTGTTGTACTTGTGTTTGACTCAATTTTGTTCAGCACAAAAGAAGAATAACAACTGGTATCAATAGGAAGAAAAACTAATGTGGTTTTGGGGGAATGTTTGTTAGGTTTTACTTCACTGCTAATCCGTTTTGTAATCAAAACGGAAAGGTAGCAATTTGATGTGAATTTTAGGATATGTATTGGTTTGGGTTTTAAAATCCATCCTCTACTAGCATGGAAATTTTTTAAATTCCCCAGGGGAGGAGCAGGCAGAACTGCTACAGTAGGGTCACAGAGTGTCTGCTCCACGTTCATCAGGGGAAACGCCTGGCATCTACATTCAAAGTATACTCTTCTTTATTGGATTTGCTCTAGCACTGCTCTGTTCAGGAAGATTGAATCTGTGTTCCTACTCTTGGAGGGTCAAATAAGTGCCACAAGAAACAGAACTGATTCACACTACAGCAGTTACAACTTGCAGAGGAATCATTTTAAACTGCGGTGGAGTAATCAGGTCTCAGTTAATGGTCTGAGTAACAGCAGTGTAGATTTTGATTTGGAAAATTGTGCCTTGCCCTACACCTATAAATACATGTGGAGGAAGGAGGATTTTCCTCACAGAAAAGCTGAAATGGCTAAGAGTAGTAGGAGGAATCCCAGCTTACATAAAACATGAACAAAATTTAAAATCACCGTAAGTTGCCCCTTTGTGCCTGAATTTCCCTATTTAGAAAGAGGAGCCAATGATACTTGAACTTCTTTTTTTGTGAACCTCTTGGTCATAAAAAGAAGCAGGCAAAAAAGCTCCCTGTGGGAGTAGAGTATATCACTAAATAAGGGGATTTTTGTGTGAGACTGGGATGTTGACTGGTTGCAGTGACTCATTCATTAAAATGACTCTGGTATAGCGTTTTTGTTTCTTTAAACTGAATGTACATACCTGCTATATCTGTAGAAACAATTTAAATGGGCAAAGAGAACACCACTTGCACAGCTCTTAAATCTACAAGGTGTTCAACTATTGAGATTATACTGCGTCAGATCCTGTTTTCTCCCCTGTAAGAACAGTATTTCAAATAGTGTGGTTTTTTCTTAGGAACAGCCCAAGGGAAGAGTCGCACGCTTCTTTGTGATTAACATGACAGCTGAATTTGGGTAAAGCTGTTCTGTTTTCCTCCTTGCGACTTCCTGAATTCCTTCTGACATTGCTCTGTTCCTCTTCCCTTTCTTAATCTCACCAAATATACCCTGTGGCTTAGAATAATGTGAATTCTTTGGTCCTAGGCTGGCCTGTGGATTTTAACATCCACCATACCAACATTCCCACTCCATTGGCTTAACTTAGTTCTTATGATTTTTTTTGTGAAATATGGCCTGTAGACTAATCATCCTCTGCAGTGGCTGTTAAATAAAAGTTATGTTAGTTTAACAACAGAAACAGGTTGGGTGGTTTTTTTTTTTGTCTGGAGAAGAGAGACCTACTGATGGCGGTCTAAAAAAATCTTTCTGTCCCAGAGCATCTTTCTAAGCGTTGATTCTTCTGCTTTCGTTCTAAGTCATTAGGGAAGCTGCTCAATTCCAGTGGATTAAATTGATCATTGTTGGACCATGCCTGAAGCAACTGCTGCGAATTTACTTGATGTTTAGTTTGTATTGCTGTTGTGTTTAGGAGCCTTGATTATAAAGCCTGTTGTGGTAGATAATGTATAGGGATAATACGTGGGGGCAGAGAAGAAGAATAGAAGTAAACATCACTCCTTGGATGCAGTTCCAGACATCCCAGGTATAGAGTTATTTCCGCATAGAGTCAGTGTTGCTGACTAGTTCGGTACCAGTCTCAAGTGTCAAGTTGTGCTTTGAGACTCTACCTTAACAGTATTTTAGAAATGTCAGGAATGTTACTCTTCAGATACTTCTCATACCTCTGCGTACCTCAACAAAACGGAAAGTCATGTGTTTACAAACAGAACCAAAGTTCTCTTTTGATTCTAACTGTATCCAACCTAAATATGGTAACTTTGCCTGTTTGGTTGTGTTGGATAGATAAGACTTTTTTTTTTTTTTTTTAATCTGGATAACTGGAAAAAAAAATAGCTCATACACTGATAGCATGGGCAGTGTTGCTAATTCTTTATCATGTAGATGGCCTAAAGCACACTTCTGTAATGTTGCATGTGTTCAAAATGTATTTCCCATAAATGCTGGTTGAGGCTTTGTGATTAGTATTTCTGTTGATGTAATCTTCAGGTGTCATATCGTAAGTACTCAAATAAAACTACCTGTACTACCAGTCTGTTGTCCTCCTACCCTTGAACGTTTTGTTCAAATGCCTTGTGATGTTCAAGTTCTGATAAAGGCAGGAAAAAGTTCAGTTTTGTGAGTTCAAGGCAATCCTGTTCATTCTGCATCCCTGGCTGCCCTCAGGCTCTGCAGTAGTCATGCAGATCAACAATCCTTAGTTCAGCTCTTGATTAATCCTTAGATTTCCATCCCTAACATGCTTTAAATGATGTAATGGCATTACAGTGAATGCAGTAGGTGAACATTGCAAGAGACCTTTCCCGATACTGCTGTGCAAAAGAAAATCAAATCTGAGTTTAGTGGGCTTGTTTTGCATGCCTGGCTCTGTAAGCCTCAGCCTACTCATGCTGCCTTGCACCTGGTAATAACCTCTGTGTTTCAAAGAAACGTCATTTATAGAAAACTAGCCACAATAGGATTCTAAGAAAATGGTTGTAACCATTAAAAAAGCGAGGGAGAAGAAAATTCCTTGGGCTTTAGAATTTTTGTTTGTTTAGATGTTTCTTGAAAGTTCCCTCAATTCATTGTAGAAACATTGGCAATCTCTTTGGGCATACTAGCATTTTTTGTTTTGTTTTGTACCTAGGAGTTCAACCTGCTTTGTGAGCAGTATTTTAAAAGCAGGCTTTACTATGCCATTCACTGCTCTTCGGGGAAATGTGACTTTTATCTTCTGTTCTTACAGTTATGTCCCTTGTCCTCCCAGCCAGCTAGGCTGGAAGAGGGAAAGGAGAGCAAGAACTCTGAGTACTAGTAGTTTGTAGATAGCTTTTGAGCTGTGGACATATTACCCTTATCTCTGGTGTAGCTTCTTACTCAATTTAAAGTCCTATTGGCAGTTTTACAATGTTGTCAGCGGTGCTGTCTGTTTGAATTTCATTTGCAGCACGGCATCTGCTTGGTTTCGGTACTTGAACTTGCGTTTTATTTGTGGACGTTCACCTAAACTGATTTGAAACCTATACTATGAATCACTGAATACAGAAATTGTTAAAAGAATTGAGCTATTGTCATTCAATAAAACTTGGTTTTGTACAATATTTTTCATGCAAATTATATTTGAATGCTTTAGAAGTAGATAATACTGAAGGGGTAAAGGGGTGTTTTCAGTAAACATAGCAAGGAGAAAGAGTATTCCTCTTTTTACAGAAATTAGGTAGTCAGATGAAAGAGATTAGAGAAAGGTGTGAGTGTTTGTGTTTGAATTAGGCTGACAGGGTGCAGTGCTCTTTCCTATGTATCACAAGATAAGTAAAAATAACAGAAACTGAGGACAAAACAAAACCAGTGACTTTGAGTAGAACCAAATCCGCACCACTGTTGCAGTGTTTCTAGTCGGAAATAAAATTTGTTCTTGACTGGAAAGGAAGGTCCTGAAATATTGTAAATTAACACATCTTTTTGTCATCTTGCAGAGCGTTTCTGCGTAGCACTTGATTAGCTACTATGAGCTTGCTATACAGCAATAACAGTTGTGGAGCCCGAGACGTGGAAAGCGGCTGCTGTGCAGCCATGGCCAGTGCCTGCAGCGTTGGAGCGAAAGAAGACAGCGTAAGCGTCAGCAGTGGGACTGGAAACCCTCCAAGTTCTTTCACAGAGGAAACACAAGGGTATGATGTGGAGTTTGATCCACCCTTGGAAAGTAAATACGAATGTCCAATCTGTTTGATGGCTCTTCGGGAGGCAGTGCAGACACCATGTGGACACCGTTTCTGCAAAGGCTGCATTGTCAAATCAATAAGGTAAAGGAAAATTTATGAAGTTGCTTTTAAGAAGAAATTCACTTACCAAAAGAGAGCAGTTTAAGGGCAGTGTAAACTGAATAGAACTTCAGGTGCATTACCAGTGAGTGCTAATAGAACTGTGGGAATTTATAACTCATTAAAGATGCTTTCTGATAAACAACATGTATGGCCAAAATGTCACGAGTTTGGAGGTTGCATGAGCTTTAGATATTTTGCCATTTATACAAATTTACCTAGGTTATGAATCTAAAAATTTGATTGAGTAAACATTAAATAATAATTTTTTTAAAGTAGCCAAATCCTCCAAATAAATTCCAGTTTCAGCCCAGAATTATAAAACCTGTCTTTTCCCATGGTTTAACCCCAGCTGGCAAGTAAGCGCCACTCAGCCACTCACCCACTCCCCCTGCAGCGAGGTGGAGGAGGGAATCAGAAGAGTAAAAGTGAGAAAACTCGTGAGTTGAGATAAAGACCATTTAATAGGACAGAAAAGGAAGAAAATAATAATAATAGTAATAATAATAAAAGAATCAGAATATACAAAACAAGGGATGCACAATGCAATTGGTCACCACCCTCCGACCGATGCCCAGCCAGTTCCCGAGCAGCAGTCCTCGGCCAGCTTTCCCCCTGGTTTATATACTGAGCATGACGTCATATGGTATGGAATATCCCTTTGACCAGTTTGGGTCAGCTGTCCTGGCTGTGCCTCCTCCCAGCTTCTTGTGCCCCCTCACCAGCCTACCCACTGGCAGGGCACAAGAAGCTGCAAAGTCCTTGACTTAGTATACACTACTGAACAACAACTAAAACATCAGTGTGGTATCAATGTTATTCTCATACTAGATCCAAAACACGGCACTGTACCAGCTACTAGGAAGAAAATTAACTCTATCCCAGCCGAAATCAGGACACTCAGATTGTAGCTGCCTATAGTTATCAGGAGAAACAGACAACATGGTTTCTTGGTGCAGATACAGCAATTCATGCTTTCAGTTCTCCACTGAAATCAGCTGCTTCCTTGTTGAGCTGGAAGAGAGAATGTGATGAGGGAATCGTCTCGAACAAAGCATTGAGAGAGGAAACTAGGTGGCATATGGAGGAGTGGAAATGAGATACGAAGGCAAGAACAGGCTGAGCTCATAAACGTAAATGATTTAAAGAGCAGGGAAGGGCAGAAAGTACACTGGTAGAGTGTACTTCCCTCAGACCTGGAATACAGTCATCAGTGTCCCACACGTGTCAGTGAGTGTTGGAACACATTGATAGAAGGCTAGCTATTATGCTGTAGGGTTTTTCCTTCTCAGCATAGAATCATAGAATCATTATGGTTGGAAGAGACCTCAAAAATCAAGTCCAACCATATACCCAATGCCATCATGCCTGCTAAACCCACTAAACCATGTCTTGAGGCCAGATTTTTTTCTTACTAATTGCTTACTTAGCTTGAATGTCACAGTACTTTAGTAGGAATCCAAATTATTTCATTTTATGTGACCCAAGTATAGAATTGGTTAATTTCCAACCTTACTGTGCACACCTTTGTGTAAAGATCATCAAACTTCTTCAGTGTTGCCATACAACGTTGTTTATTCCCAGGCTTTTGTTTTTGTCCTGCAGAATGGACTGTGCTTTCTTGATTGGTTTGCCATACTGTTTATCCCTAGTTCTATTCTATTTCTCTTTCTCCATGGTCCATCATTTGTAGCTTACTAACCAAATACTATACCAGCAACAATGTTCTCCGAATACAGTATTTTCTGGGTTTTGTGGGCTTCTCTGTAGCTTCTGCCAGTGTTGTATCTGATGCTACTGTATTTTTTCATGGCATGCCTTTTAGATCAAGGAGGGAAATGTTGGTGCGGAGTATAAGAAGACAAACTTAATTTTGCATTCCCTACTTATGATAGCAAAAGAGCAGGCTATTTTCCTTTCTAGCAAGTGCAGAAATTTATTGTGTGTGTTTGCAGCATGGTTCTTGTTAACATTAGCTTTATCAATATTTTTGAGAAAAGGATGCAAATTCATTGTCCAGAGAGTACAGAGTGCCACCAGTGTTCACCCATGAAAAGTGACTTGCCTGTGGGTTCTGCAGAGGAAGCTGAGAGATATTCAGTTCTCCACTAACCATACCCTGAGATCACCCTGCTCCCTTAGTCCCTTGCCTTGTTCACTGTGTTCCTACTTCTGCAAGAAAAGTACGTCAGGCCTTACCCAACTGCATCACTCGGTGGTATTCGCGTCAGACGGGTGCATGGAAGAAGGCAAAAAAACCCCAAACCTAAACCTGTCAGTTTTGACTGTAATCCCATTCCCTAGGCACAAGCGGTTGGCTTCACTTTGCTTTGTACGTTCCAACCTCAGTTCTTTCAAGAGGTTAACGTACATAATTTCATGCATGCTTGTAAGTATCGAATTAGGCGTTTGTACTAATACAGGCCATTACGTTTTGGAATTCCTTGCTTGCTTTCTCTGAGCTTGCTCTATTCGTTGGCGGTAGCAGTTTTTATCCTTTTCTTGGGTATTTCTGAAAGAAAGAAACGAAATCTTGAAACCTTCTCATGGGAGTATGTTGTCTATAAATCCAGAAGGTAAATTAGTCAGTACTTAAGTATCCTGAGCTTTAGAAATATGTACTCACCAATCATTTCAAAGACAACACAATTCTTGGTTGAAAACTGAGGGGAAAACGACTAAACTTAAAATTACCAAAAATGGGTGCCTCATTTCCAGTCTTTCAGATCCTTAACAGCTAAGGTGATCTTGTTTTGTAATCCTTCTGCTGATGAGCTGCACGGTTACGGTCATTGGTTAGAATTTACCACAGGACTGAGTGAGGAACTGCAGTGAACCCGTGTTCAGAACGCAACATCTCGTAGCAGGTAGAGAAACTTCCTTCTTAAACCCCAGGCATGGGAAATGGTTTCTCTTCCTTTTTACGTTAACAGAGCATTTGCTCTGCTCAGATTTTTAGGTCTGCAAACAGTTTCAATGACCAGAAGCTTTTGCTTCTTTTACACCCTTTCCCTATTTTGCTTCATTTCTATAGATAGTGTTGACTGTTCCAGTGAATACTAAACACAGGTGGAAAGCATTTTTCGTTTTGGAGACTAGAGATCATCTCTGTGATTATTTCAGATGTTTCATTGACAGTCAATGTTTTCCCCTGTTCCCCACTGGAATCTCTTTAGAGTGCAGTTTGTGTGAATGCTTGTGAAAGCAGAGCAGACAACTTAAAGTGCCAGACCCCTCCGAATCCCTGGAGGGCTGAATTGCGTGCTTAATTGGGAGCCATGGATGAAGCTATTGATTTGGAGCATTTAGTGTCTACAGTACAATATTGATTTGGAGTATGTAATGTCTGCAGTACCATATTAATTGATGTCATTGAGAAGCTTCTGCAGAACTAAAATGAAAAATGGAAAGTGATTTTTACATTCTCTAAGTACTGGTTTTTTTCATTAAGTGATCGTCACAGCCTTTATTTGATCAGGAAAAAATTGCTTCTGTTTATTCCTCATTTCCTCACTGTCTAGCTCAAGTGAACACAGAGATTAAGGATTTTAAATGATAAAGGATGGACAAGCAGTTTTGGAGTAATTGCTTCTTTTGACTTACACAAACAATTGTAGTTGTCAATGCTGGAGAAGTTGTGGCTGCAACTAGAAAGATCTTTTTAAAAAGCTTTTAAAGACTGGAATCTTAGATCTTGCAGTGTGAGGGACATGATTAGACCAGATGGATTTGATCACAGTAAATGTTTGCCTCCCAGGAAGTCTTGGCATCTTTTTAAATAAAGTTGTCTGAAGTGCTTTGAAGTGCTATGAGTCATGGTAGTGAAGAAGCTTATCTACCTAAGTAACCACAAATAATAGTTTACAGATTTTACTATCTACAAAGGGCTTGATTAGAAATTTCGGAAGAAGTAAGTTCAGATGCAGTAGCTAATTAACTTTCAGTCTAGTCTTTCTTCTCCTGTATCTTAGGTCAAAGCTGAGTTAGGACTTGTAGTAGATCTCGCAAGTCTCAGAACCTCTGTTTATCGGAAAAGCAGAATTATGAGCTGCCAAGGGGCAGCAAGGAAAGCTTTGGGTGCTCACAGTTCATCAGCCAGCCAGTATGGCTGCAATTAAAGTGTATGCCAACTGGTTCAGCTTCTAGGCTAAACTGCTCAGTTGCTAAAATCACCGAGCAGGCTTTTTCTTCAAACAAAATTATTCTGGCTTTACTTTTCATACCTTTATTTTAGTTTCAAGTGAAATTGTAGGAATATTCATTGTACTTTGTAGCAGTTGATTGTTGTTTCACAGGTACTGTTGTGGGTGATAAATAATTCCAATGTGCTAAATAATTCCGGCACAGGAAAGCCTCCGCTATAATGTAAATTAGAACTGAGGTACATAAACTCAGTTCTGTGATAGGAAATGTATAGCAACATCTTTGTCTGTAGATGGATCTAAGCAGCCTTTTAAACACAACCACAACGCTTGTAAATAGTGTTTGAAGTCTGTTTAATATACTACGATAAGTTATTGCTCTTTCCTTACTATAATCATTGGAAAATTGCCACTCATTCTTATTTTGCCCTTTGTCTGCTAGTTATTTAAACTGGGGATCTGGTAATCATTATTTAAAATTAATCTGTGGTTGGCTGTTATTATACATGATCAACTTTTCTGTGTAGAAATAAGGCTGCTGTCTTATCGGCAGGCCTACTGACCTGTTATTACACTTCACTAAATAGGGTATTTGTAACCAAGTTATATGTGTGAAAACTGATTTCTTGTAGGTTGCCTGCAAAGTGAGGGAACATTTCAGGGTTGTGACAAAGATCAGCACGCTGATTGAAGCTCAGGGAGCTAGGAAACAAAACAGCATGCTAGATATTTTCTTTTTTCCACTTGTTTAGGAGTATGACTATCAGACTTGTGGTGAGCTAGCTCTTGCAAGCAAAACCTAGGAAGGGAAGTTCATTGTCTTTGCTTGAAGTCTCAGCTTTACCCCCCGGTTCCTCTAGCAGCGTTGCTGATGAAGGAGTTGCTGAGCAATTATTTCCTTTTCCAACAAAGAACACAAATTCCCTCCTGTTCTCCACAGCCCACTAGGTTCTACTTCCCCTCCTGCTTGCGAGCAGCGACAATGATCTCGCCTTTGATCTTTGCACCACAAGTGCTCTCTGACATTTTTCCACCCCATGTATTTTTCCATTTTATTGCTGTTTCCATTCGCACTTCAGCTCAGAAGCTTTGATCCCGCGTACCTCTTTAACTGTATTACTTAATTGTGAATAGATATGTTGACCTACTGATACTGGATATTTTTGTTAAAGGAAAATTTGGTGGAAGGGATCCCTTTTTTACTCCATTTCTAATGATTCTTTTTTTTAAATGCAGGTAGACAGAACCTGACAAAGTGGAACAGGCCATTAGTTCTCTTGTGCAAGTTGCATGCACCCATGTTCCACATCAGACTGCAAGCTTCGACCAGTTAGCACTGAATTCCAGTCTGTTTGCTGTTAAAATGGCTTCAGATACAATACCCAGTTCCAAATCCACCATAATTTTCACAGTTACTAGTAATTTTTGTGTCTGGAGTTTTTTCACCCTTCTTTGCAGTATAAATAAATAAATTGAAGGATGACACAACTGATCAAATGGTTGTACATCAAAAACAGCGAAATGAGCTATATGAAAAGTAATGCCAAATAGATAGTGAATGTGTGTGTGGGGGGGGAAAGATGTTTTTGCTTTTACTCTCAACTATGATCACCTTGGCAGTTTATAAAGTGAGAAAGAACGGAGAGAAGATCCAAGAATCTTTAAAGGATTGTTTTGAAATAGTATGTGAAATATTCTTTGTTTAAGGTATGTGAAGTACTTACAGAAACGGGACTGTAAGTTCTTCATTTCTTTACATCCTCCTCAAGTTTATTTCCAGAGTATCTATCGTGGCATTTGTCCAAATAAAAACTATTGAGTTAGAAAAGTGCTGTGATCACAGTCCTGTCACCTCTAGTGAAACTTGTGTATTGTCATTTCTCTGATGTGCATCGCGTACTTTCTGGTCATTGCCACAAATACTGTTGGTTTCAAAGACTTTCTTAATGTGTTATAATTTGGCCCTAATGTCTTGCTAGTGTGAAAAGTATTCTAAGTGAAGGACAAAGATAACTTGCAATCTCTTTTTCCTTTCTTTTCTGCGTTGTAGAGATGCAGGTCACAAATGTCCGGTAGACAACGAAATTCTGCTTGAAAATCAACTTTTTCCTGACAACTTTGCTAAACGGGAAATACTGTCATTAACGGTTAAGTGTCCCAACAAGGGCTGCACAATGAAGATGGAGCTGAGGCATTTAGAGGTGAGAATTGGTTTTGAAAATACGGAACCTTGTTTTCATGGACACGTAAAAGTTCAAAATAACTTAACAGAGATGGTCATACCTGATACCTGTTTGTGCTGATTCAATGCACTGTTCATTCAAGACTGTAGCTACACATACTTGGTTTTTGATGAGTCTTCAATTGTAACTCGGTGATTCTCAAGTGAGCGTCATAGTGCACGAAAATTGTACTAATGCAGCTTTCTTTTTAGGATCATTCATGTTGGTCTTTTGATCAGCTGTATCTACACTTCACAGAAGTTCCCTAAAGTCAGTTTAACATTCCCTCAAAGCAGCTAGATATATTAGTTGAAATAATTGTTTTGGAAAACAATGTGCGAAGTTAAAAGGATAAATATAAACCTGAATTTTTACCTGAGAGCATTCTTAAAGCTCTAAATACATGAAGACCTGATCTTAGTAATGGGACAATGACAGGCCGTTGGTGAGGTCAGCGTAAGTGTATAAGGATTTGCTTGCATGAAGGAAAGATTGCAATTTGTTCCTCTTGTACTGTGCTTTATCTTGAAAACAGAGGCGATGATAGTACCTGTTTGTAGTATCAAATCCCTCTTTTATTCTTGTTCAGGACCACCAGTTGCAGTGTGATTTTTCCACTGTGGAATGCCCACAGTGCCAAGGAGCCTTCCAGAAGAACCATCTGAAAGAGCACATGACACAGGAGTGTCCGAGACGTCAAGTCTGTTGTCCAAACTGTGCCACATCTATGGCCTATGAAGATAAAGAGGTACTTAGCAGGAGTCTCAGTTTTTCAACCTTCATTCACATGGGTTTGCTTGTAAATGGAACAGAAGTTTAAAAAAAAGAAGTTTTGGTCTAAAGAGCTCTTTGTGCTGCACAGGGGAGAAGCTATAAACTCAGGACGTTAGTCTAGAACAGGCAAAAGCTAGGAAGAGGATTGTGCTTAAATACAAACTTCTTGGGAAACCTGTGGTGTGAAAAGACTTGTGTAAGAACCGTTGATTTTTTGGCCTTACCATCAGTGAGGCTGGTATCTACTGCCAAAGTAACATACAAAGTAATATTTACATTTGCAGTTTTTATGCCTGGCAGAAAGGATGTGTCAGGAGATGCATCTTTTGGGGATATCTGCTAACACATAAGACCAAGATAATTTCTGAATTCTTCTCCTGGCTCTGCCTTTTTTACTTGGGTGATACTGAGGATAGTCCTTTGCTTTTTGAGCTTCCATTTCTTTATCTGTATATGGATCTGTTTTATCTTAAGGGTTATTAATTTTATGACACCGTATTGTGAATTGTCAAATAAAAATACCTCATAGTCCAACAACACAAAAAAACCTTTAATATAGTTCCACTACAACTGAACATGAATTTCAGAAACTTCTGGATAAATTCAGACTCCCCTGGAGCATAAGAGCTTTAGGAAATAAAATATCTGCAGCTTTATGCATCTCTTGTATAAGTCCAGGAAAAAACCATAATTTTAGAAAACATACTGTTCAGAGTTAAGGGGATTGTCTTTGCATTTAGCTGTATGCAACTGTGAAACTATGTAAATAAAAATTTAACGTCTTATCAGAGGTAATCAGCACTCAAATTGTGTAACTTTATTGATTCTTTCTTTCCTCTCTTTTTCTGTTTGATAACTAAGCTTCATGACCAAACCTGCCCACTTGCGAATGTATTTTGTGAATATTGCAACACAGTGCTCATCAGAGAGCAGGTAAGAAACTACCTTTCTCTGTGTTTAATCTGTCTCAGATGTTTTGTATTTACATTGCTGCTTTAATCTGAAATTAAACTTGAAGAAACAGTTTGTCTGCTAGCTAATAAATCTCTACCTGTCTTTCTGAAAACGTTGCATCCCATGCAGGTGTAATACTCTCTTAAATGCTACTCCAGCTTACAATTGCAGTCTGGTAAATTATGTAGGATTTTTGACTGCAAATCGCATTGTTTAGCTATACTGCTTCTTGACAGGGGCCGTGCTGCATGGTTTTGATCTTGAATGGAGGTTAAAGAGTACCAAGCAGCTGCCAGTGGTTATCGCTGACATTAGAAGACAAGGCTTTGATTTGGGTAGAGAGGGACAGAATTTGTGATTGGAAAGCCACTGTTGGAAAGGAGCTATAAACATTTTGCTATTGAACTGTAGATGCTGGCTGGAATTCTGCTTGTCCATTACTATTCTAATAGCCATTATTATTTCTTCTATTCAATAATAACTATCTTAATTGACAGGAAAATTATAAATGTTATTTAATTTGCAGCCTATCCCTGTTTGAATGGGATGGCAACTATGTTAATGACCTGAGTTAAAATAAAGATTGATTTTGTCAAATTGGAGAAATACTCTGAAAAACAGAATTGAGTTCAGTAACAACAACGGCAAAAATCTGTTGTTAGGTAGAAAAATGAACTGCAAAAATAGGGAACAGAGAATGCTAAACTAGGTAATGGTTTGGAATTAATGGCTGACTTCTATTAAGCTTGTGTTCTACTTCATCATGGTATTTAAACACAGCAAGCATACTGGGTGATATAAACAGATATTTTGCCTGCAAAACCCAGAGTTATGCTTTGCTCTGTTTAGGGCCCGTAAGGCTTCACCAGAAGCTGTCCAGCTTTTGAGGTGGAAATGGATAGGGAGGATCCAGAGCAGTGAGATAATTGGGTCTGGAAAACACAGATCATAAGAAAAATTGAAGTAACTTGAGCTATTTGAGAAAGAGGATAAGGAAGAGAGACACAACAATTCTATGCAAGTAGTGCTTCAGAAGGGAAGGAAATGGTCTGTGATCTAGCCTGAGGATAGGCTAGAAACAAAAGGCATTTGTTCTGGCAAGAAAGCCTGAATGCTTTCTGATACCTAATAAGAACAACGGCAATGAATCGTTAAAAGTACATAGAAGGAGGATGTAGAATTTTTATCACCAGCTAACATTTTTGTTCAAAACTTCCATATTTCTTTGAGAAATTGTGTACATATAAACCGATCTGACTTCAGGTACCTATTCAGGGGCCATCCAGCTGTATTCTTTTAGGATGTTACAAAAGAATATTCTTGATGGAAAAACTTACTTCAAACCTGATTTGTTTTAGATGCCTAACCATTATGACAATGACTGTCCTACTGCCCCAGTGCCATGTTTTTACAGTGCCTTTGGCTGTCCTGAAAAGGTAAGCCTTTTATCAGAATCATGAATTGTAGACCTTCTGCGTGTTTTTGTTGTTTTGGTTTGGTTTTAATGTGTTTTCATATTCTTGTCTCATTCACCAGCCCAAATCCTCAGCGGTTTGTGTGGGTTTTTTTTGTTTTGAGATATCTTAATTCTAAAACACAACATGTTAATACATTGCCTTTCAAAAGTCCTTTTCAAATTTAAAAAAACTCTGTGAAAGATTTGCTTGATGAACTTGCTTTTATTAATCCATGAGTGTTTTCTCAGCTTTCATGTCAATAAGTAGCTTCTAGCATTTCTTCCAAAGTTGTGACCAAATACAGTTATGACTCATAAGAGTTCAGTGAAGAAAACCTGACCGTGCTTTAAAACCGATTAAATTCTAAAATTATTTAATCTGGATACTCTTATTTCTCATTTTTAATACCTCTTTGTAAAAATGGACCTTTTCCCTTCATTGTTTCCGCATCAGTTTTCATACAACTTGGTGTTTGGAACTATGGAGCATTTTAGCAAATCAATAAAGGGAGTACCATGCTGATTGAGAAGACAGGAGAAAATACTAAATGTATGTTTATCACTTAACACTTTTTCACCATGTCAGTATTTTGAGTTGAACAACATTTGCCCACTGGCATTTTGAACTTCTTTTCTCATTTGTCATAACAGTGATCTTAAATTTGGAGCTCTCCATTGGTAAAGTGCTACTTTGTCCCATTACCTGTCCTTGATTCACATGCCAGTTCTTCTCGCACAACAGAGGCAACTAGTTGTTTGATTTTCTTCAGAACCACAGTTAAGATGCGATTCCAGATAATGTTTGATACGTTCCTAATGCCTCATCTCTCAAATTCTAGATGCAAAGGAATGAACTGGCACGACATATGCAGGAGTTCACTCAGGTTCACATGAGAATGATGGCTCAGAGTTTTCAAAATATCAGTGTTACTGCTGCAAATCCTGTACCCTTCATCAACGGCCTTCCCTTTGAGCCTGCCCTTTTCTCACACGTGTCGCCTGCTGCGTATGATTGTAATCCAGAAGTTGAAAACTTCAAAGAAACTATTCAGCAGTTGGAAGGTCGTCTGGTAAGACAAGATCACCAAATTAGAGAACTCATTGCTAAAATGGAGACTCAGAACACTCACATGGCAGAACTCAAACGTACTATCCGAAATTTGGAGGGAAAGATTACTGAAATGGAGGCACAGCAATGTAACGGTATTTATATCTGGAAGATTGAGAACTTCAGTGGACTTCAGAAGGCCCAGGAAGAAGAGAGACCTGTTGTGATGCACAGTCCTGGCTTCTATACTGGAAAGCCTGGCTACAAGCTGTGTTTGCGCCTGCATATCCAATTACCAAATGCTCAGCGTTGTGCTAATTTTATATCTCTGTTTGTCCACACTATGCAGGGAGAATATGACAGCCATCTGCCTTGGCCTTTCCAAGGCACTATACGACTTTCTATTTTGGATCAATCAGAAGGCCCTGAAAGGCAAAATCATGAAGAAGTAATGGAAGCCAAGCCAGAGTTACTAGCCTTCCAGAGACCAACAATTCACCGCAATCCAAAAGGTTTTGGTTATGTGACTTTCATGCACCTGCAAACCTTGAAACAAAGAACCTTCGTAAAGGATGACACCCTTCTGGTGCGCTGCGAAGTTCTAACGCGTCTAGATTTAAACAGTCTCCGCAGAGAAGGATTTCAGGCTCGCAGTACTGATGGAACTGTGTAGCCTGTAAGTCTTAACCAGAGGAATGGAGCCACTAGTCGTGTTCTTCCACCACAGATTACAAGTGCGCTTCATTGTCCGTATAGGCTGCATTTGTAAAAGATCGTAGTTGCCAACATAGTTGATCTTTACCTGAATAGAACTTTGTTGTTGGCATACTTTTTTTTTTTCTGTATGAGGTCATGTGTTCAAATATTTGGTATTGTTCTCTATTAAAGTAATAAGCTACTTCTGTAGCAAGCTAACTAAGTGAAGTGTTGTTAATCAAAACTGCCTACAGGAAAATCCTGTTGAAGTACCTGTACGTATCAGTTTGGTAAAACTTAAGTTGTATCAGAAAAGACCTGTCGATCTTTTCGCCTCAGTGCCTTGCAATAGATACTGTAGCAGGGAAAAAGCTAAATTAATAAATTGTTTGTTTGTTTTTCACAGAGCTTGGGAAAGTTGAGACAGTTTCTATATTGACTTACCTAGAATTTTGAATTGGCTATGCTTCTCTTGAAATCTGAAGTCGGGTTAAGACTTCGCTCACATCGCCTAGGGTTGAGGTACTCTTTGACCCTTCTCTCCTGCGGACTTAGCTTCAGGAAGTTGCATGTCGATGTAGAGTTGATAATAGTATTTCTGAAAGACTTGTGGTAGTGTTGTGGAGGCCAAATGACTCTGAGCTGAGTTCACTGAAGAAATCTTTGTAATGTGATCTGAAAGTGCCCCCCTAATTCTTTTTATTTTGATAAATCTTTTTATAAGTGTGTGCTCTGGGCCCAGAATGTCAGTCACCATCACCAGAGAGAGAAAAGCATAGTATTGGAATGATGTGCTGGTGGGATCTCCTTCTAGGGCTGGACATTTTTCAGATTGTGAGTGGATACATGAGCGAAGGTATGTACTAACTAGATAGGGTGATGTGGCATTTGTTTTACTGTTGTCGAAACCTGAATTTGTACCAAAGCTGAACTTGTGACCCGCATCTGTTCGAGTGATCTCTTGGTGTTCTGGGTGACGTATGACCTGTATCTTCTCCTATGAATTCTCAGTGGACAGCTGGCCATATCAGCCTCCCCTTGTCGTGGGGCGTCCCGTTTGACAGTAGGAGCTGGGCTACCCTCAACACTTTGGGGCTGAAGAAAAACTTATTAATTAGACACTGTGAGGAAAAATTGCAATCCCGTTTGCTCTTAGGAAGAAAATCTGGCTTCCATAGTTACTCCTTTACTGAACACTAGATTCACCATGTCAAGAATTCATGAGCTTCCTAATGTTGCGTGTATTATTGTTTGCTGTACTGATTGTTTGTGTGCCATATGAATGTTAGTTTTGACCAGTTAAAGCTGAGTAGTTCAAGTTCACTGGTGCTAAAAATTTTAACTTACCATGGTGCTGATAAAATTCTGAATCTTGTCTTTAAAAGGAGGGAAGAAAAAAGTTTTGGTTACTCCATGACTTAAGTACGCAGTCTGATACCGAAGAAAGAACTAAGCATATGTCTATTATTTCTCGAAGCTAGTGAAACAACCTGAAGACTTGCGACACTGCAACTTAAAAGATACTGAAGGGTGTTCCAACTATTTGGCCTCATCAAACCAATCCCATGGGGATCATCCCTGGGGAAAGTGCATATGCTTAATATATACAAGGCTAATGAAAGACAACTGTAGTATATTGATTTGGGAGGATGCTCTGCCTGCCTGCATGAGATGAAAAGTTCCAGGACCCAACCTACCATTTTGTTCATCATGTCCGGATGAGTAACGTTTATTTTGCAGGTAGAGCCTGTTAGTTGAAGAGGGATTGTGTTCAATGGAGCATTGTCACTGCTGAAACATGAACTTCCTGGCTAATGGTAGATGCAGTCAGTCGTTGACTTTAGTGTATTCTGCGTGTTTAGAGGACAGGTGAGTGTGCGTATATTGCTCAAAATAGGAGAAGACCTGTGCTTTAAAACTGTCTTTTTAAATCTCTTAAGCAGTTTTTATACTGAATAGCCTCATCCTATTAGCTGAAGTGTTTCGGAGTGTCTTCAGTTAGAGCATTCCTGTAGTTAAACCAGTCTTAACTAAGAGCTTTTAATGTACATGACAGTACCCAGACCCACTATATATAGAAGGCACTGTACACTATTTCTCCAGTCATTTTCAAGCTGTGTTAGATATCCATGTTTTTCCAAGAAAAACCATTCTCCTATATATATATATACTGGGGAGGGCTGGGGGCAGAAGAAACACTTGCCATTTGAGAGCTTCTTCCTGCCACAGTTCCTTTCTCAACCCTAGTGATACTAACAAAAATGTCCTTAGTCTGTGTTCTGAGAGTTTATACCCAAGACCCACCAAGTGCATTAATACTTTCTTTTCTTTTGAAGCTTTGCATTATGAACTGAATTTTTGCTTTGAGCCTTATCTACTGGATCTGATAGACTTCTGCTTTGGGAGGAAATTGGCTTTGGTGGCAGGTTCGGGAGTTTAAATGATTCAGGTTAGTATTGTACAATAGCACAAACCAATAGGGAATAGAAAGCTACTGCGTGTGTAATACTGTGTTGGCCTCGGTAACATGAATGCTTTATTCACTGCTGCTGTTCTACTGGTTTTATATTTTAATATCACCAGGTAGAACTCTGAGTGATGCCAGATTACTGTAGTGCCAGAGTTTTACAGGAGACACTTTCAGAGCTGATTTGCTAAGTATCAGTTAAACCTTACTGTTGTGAAAAATTACAAATGTTAATGAAATGTTTATTCATCTAATTGTTCCATTTTCTTCTTTCTTCCCCACCTTCCAAGCTACTCTTCATTTTAACTGCAGTTCCAGAGCTTTCTCTTACAAATAAGAACCTCATCTTCAGCTAATGGCAGAACACTGTTACCATCGCAATGGATAGTCTTCATGACTATTATCTTTTATTCAAACTTAGTTCTAAGGTTAGCACGAAGAGATTCAGTTTCTATGTGAAAATGTATTTTCACTGAAACAGCCTCTTTTCTCTTTCCTCCAAATCTGATCTGATCTTTTGAGAAATCATTTTACCGTGGTAGATTGAGGTATAATTAATTGCTAGAACTACCCAAATGGAAGTAGAAAGGTGTGCAGTGTCAAGAGTTGTCTCTGAAACAAATACAAAGAAATACGGGGATTTAACCAGTTTCTTGTGTAATTTCTTCAGGAATGGGGTTCTTCGGTTCTGTAACTCTTGATGCTTTGCAGCATCACTGGATCTCAAGGTGGTTTAGAAAGTGGCTTAGCTTCTTTTATCTTCCAAATTTCTGTTGTCTTGAATGTGTTTTAAGTCAGCCACTCTAGTACGTGTATTTGCAAAGCTGCTATGGCACAAATTTTCCAATTATAATATATTGCAAATGTGTTTTCTTTTGGCCTCTGAATGTCTTCCCCTGCAGGGCAGGGAAAATTATTTTACTAAAAATGTTGGTATGTAATGTATATGTGAGAGCTCAGATAACGTGAGATGTATAGACTTGTTTTTTATGTGGTCTCATGATATGCCTGGTCATGTTTGCTATCAAGGGATTAAACTTACTAATGAAATAAAATCAGGGTGGCATTTCTGTTCTTATTTAGAGACGTGTTCACATCAAATATATTGATGATGGATGCAAAAGATTATTCTGGGGGTCGATGTTAAAGGGTTGTATTGGTTTGCATTTGAACAGAATGAAAGTACTCCTGTTCCCTTGGAAGTATCGATAGATTGTTTAATATATTTTGTAATTAATGCACAGCTATATTTCTGACAGGATTTTAAAAAATAAACTAATTAAACTGTGCACTGTATGTTGCATCTTTATTCATGTGGAGGGCTATTCAAAAAGACTAACTGATAGAGGACCTCGGTGGTACATTCTCAGTCTTGCGGGTTTCAGAGCTGGCTGGGTTTTAAGGAGGGAGACCGCCTATCGTATAGCACCAAGAGGGCAAAGAATATATTTCGAGATTTTAAAATTTCTGTCACTGATTTATAAAGGGTAGCGATACTTTTATTTATAACTCGAAGACATAGCTAGTGTAATTGATAATAAGCTAAGTCTTCTCATGATCATCCTGTAACTTAAGATGCAGCTCCAAAAAAATACTGCACACTGTCACCCCTCTGGCCACATCCTGCTTGTTCTGGTTGTCACAAAAACAACTATGGGTTGAAGCTTTGTTGCAAGATGCTCAGATCAGAAACCAGAGGGAGTTCCTCTGTCAGTGAGAGAAAGAAGCGTTTGTTTCATGGCAGTCTGCTAATTTATCTCAACCACGGATGTGTTCTGGATCGTTTTTTTAACGGGATCTGCAGGAAGGGAAATCTTGATCTTGGACTCCATGCCCTATAGAGTCTATAATGTTCAAGACCTTCAAATTCTTCTGAGGAAACTTAGTGGTATTACGTTTAGTAAATACCTAATGCAGTGCATTTAATGTCAAGTTAATTATGACTTTATCTTTCATCCAAGTTGGTCCTAATACCTTCTGTGAGCAATGGATACCAGTATCCACTGTGATACCGGTATCGGTTGTGTTAATTCATTTTTAATGCTCCATAATTTGAAGTGCACTAAAATATTATTTCATCTCATCAAAAGAAGAATGGTCTTTTTTTAAACAGGAAAAATAGGCACATGCCGCTGCACCTGTGAATGGTGGAAAGTCATAGAAGATGTGGGCAATATAAAAGTCTGTTCACGCTCTCGTAAATATAAAGGTCTCATGTACCTGTGCGTTTCTGAAAAAACTTGGGTTTGTACTGCTAAACTGGATGTGGACCAGGATATTCTGACTAAATATTTTATTGGACAAATACCAGTTCATTGCAGCAACTTCACAGGAAGAACACATATAGTTTTAGCTAAAAAATCTTTACTTGTGCAAAACCAGTTGCTCTCCTCCCTCACTTATCCCCAGAAAGCACCAGCCCAGCACCTAAGGCTGCTCCATCTGGAAAGAGAACTTGTGCGATTCCTTACTACGCGGTCCTGGGTGAGTACACTCCCTGCTAGACTTCA